TCCACAGGCTCACCACTCTTTAGGTGAAAAAATGTATCCTCATCGCCATCCTAAATCCTCATACTGTGACACCTGGTTCTGGAAACACCGACCGTTGGGAGTATCCTCCCTGCATCTGCACTGTCCAGTCCTGGTGGAATTTTATAAGTTTCTATGAGATTCCCGCTCATTTATCTGAACTCCAGTGAAAATAATACCAACCTAGTCAATCTCTCATACATCAGACCCACCATCCCCAGAATCAGCCTGGTAAACCTTCGCTGCACTCCCTCGAGAGCAAGAGCATCCTTCCTCAGAAAAGGAGACCAAAACTGCACACAATATTCCAGGTGTGGTCTCACCAAGGACCTGTACAATTGCAACAACACATCCCTGCTCCTGTACTCGAAACCTCTCACAATGAAGGCCAACGTATCATTTGCCTTCTTTACCCCCTGCTGTACCTGCATGCTTACCTTCAGCGACTGGTGCACAAGGACATCCATCTCCCAGTGCAAGCTCCCTTCTCTCAATTTACAGCCATTCAGGTAGTAACTTTTCTGTAAATAATAACAAATTAATTAATCAGAGACAGACATCATCACAAATAGTCATTGAGCAGTTCATTTTCTTAAACTAATTGATTTACTGTAACAACACTTTGTTCTAATATCAGAAATCAGAGACACCCAGGTTTAGTCCAACAGGTTTATTTGAATCACAAGCTGTCGTAGTATTGCCCCGTCATCAGATGAAGTGAGAGCAAAGCATACAGGCACAGAATTTATTGGCAGAGAGATCAAAAGATCATACAAATGGTGTGAGTGGAGCATCGACAGGCCGAATAATAGATCTCTGCAGGTGATCAAGAGTGTCAGACGGTGTGAGTAAAGTGTCAACAGCTGAATAACAAGCGAAGGGATGACCTATAATCCGATTAACTCAGGCAGGCAGATAATTACAAAAGATTAAAAATAAGGTGGTCCTGGAGACAAATCAACCAGCTGGAATAACACAAGATTTGTATGCCAAGGATCTAACCAAAGTAATAAGTGATCCAAAATAGTAGAAGCTAATTAAGGTAGAGAGATTATAACAATTTATCATGGTGATGGTGTCAGAACAGGACAGTAAGGAAGATTTTACAAATACAGAACAGTGTGATGGGGTCACCTGTAGCATGACATGAACCCAAGATCACAGCTGAGGTCGTCTTCATGGATTCAGAACTTGGCTGTCAGTTTCTGCTCGGCAATTCTGTGTTGCTGTGTATCTCGAAATCACCTTAAAGGATGCTTACCCAAAGATCGCAAGCTGAGTGTCCTTGATCACTGAAGTGTTCCCCAACTGGGAAGGAACATTCCTGTCTGACAATTGTTGTGCAGTGTCCATTCATCCGTTGTCATAGCATCTGCATGGTCTTGCCAATATACCATGTCTTGTGGACTATACGTCATCCCTTCTCATGTTATTCACCTGTTGACACTTTAACTCAAACTGTCTGACACTCTTGATCACCTGCAGAGACGTATTATTCGGCCTGTCAATACTCCACTCACACCATTTGTATGATCTTTTGATCTCTCTGCCCGTTGATCTCTCTGCCTATGAATTCTGTGCCTGTATGCTGCTCTCTCACGTCACCTGACAAAGGGGCAATGCTTCGAAAGCTTGTGATTTCAAATAAACCTGTTGCACTATAACTTGGTGTTGTCTGATTTCCTACCTTGTCCACCCCAGTCCAACACCAGCACCTTCACATCTTGTTCTAATATAGCAGCTTTAATATAACAAAGCATCCCCTGGTCCTTCAAACAGGATTCATTGAATCATAGAATCCCCACAGTGTGGAAGCTGGCCATTCAGCCTATGATGTCCATAACAACCCTCTGAAGAACATCCCACCCAGACCCACCCTGTAGCCTATCTCTGTAACCCTGCATTTCCCATGGCTAACCCACCTAATCGACACATCCCTGGACATTATGTGCAATTCAGCATGGCCAGTCCACCTAATCTGCACATCTTTTGACTGTGGGAGGAAACTGGAGCACTTGGAAGAAACCCATGCAGACGGGGGGAGAATGGGCAAACTCCACACAGACAGTTGCCGAGGGTGGATCAAAACTGGGTCCCTGGCACTGTGAGGCAGCAGTAAATCAAAATCAAAATTATGAATCAAAACTTGTTACTGATCACAGAAAGAGAAATTAGGACAGATGAAAAGAAATACCACCAGAGGGTAGGTTTTGGGTAGCATCTTCTGGGAGGAAAGACAAGACAAAGACAGAGAAGTTTGTGGAGAGAGTTCTAGAGATTTGGGCCATGCTAGCTGAAGGCATAGCTATCTATAGTAGTTCAATTAAAGTCAGGGATGTTCAAGAGGCCAGGATTAAAGAAACTCATATGTCTTGGAGGGTGGAAGGGCCAAGGAGATTAGAGAGCCAGGGAGAAGGCCATGGAGGAGTTTAAAAATGAGAATTTTAAAATTAAAGTGTTGCTTAATAGTAAGATCAAAAATCACACAAGACCAGGTTACAGTCCAACAGGTTTATTTGAAGACACAAGCTTTTGGAATCTCAATCCTTCTACAGGTGACAGTGAGAGAGGTGGCATCAGACACCGAATTTATAAGCAAAAGATCAAAAGGTGTTGATGCGGTGTTGAACAAACCTAAGATAGCTGTTAAATCTTTAATCAGTTTGTAAGAATTAATATGCACATTCCCAAATTTCTTTCAAGACACTGCCGCAGGATAACTAAAGGTTTTAATAGTTCCCTCAGTATACCAGAGGTGACATCTCAGGTCAGACAATGCATTTTAGATGTGAGACCTTGTTTAGAATCTGGCTGTGTATCAACTTTGAGTCAGACTGGTTTTATTTCCAAAGTAGGAATTTATAAAATGCCACATTGACTGCCTTCAAACTGTGTGCTTTTTGAACAAGATTTGTGTGTGTGTGTGTGTGTGTGTGTGTGTGAGAGAGAGAGAGAGAGAGTGTGTGTATGTGCGTGTATGAGAGACAGAGAGAGTGTATAGTGTGGTGGGGTCACCTGTAGTGAGACATGAACCCAAGATCCCGATTGAGGCCGTCCTCATGGGTACTGAATGTGGCTATCAGCCTCTGCTCGGCGACTTTGCGTTGTTGCGTATCCCAAAGTCCACCTTGGAGGACATTTACCCAAAGATCCAAGCCCGAATGACCTTGACCACTGAAGATTTCCCCCAACTGGGATGAATCATCCCTGTCTGGCAATTGTTGTGCGGTGTCCATCGGCTTAGCGACTGCACGTTTTTGCCCATGTACCATGCCTCGGGGCATCCTTGCCTGTCTGACTCCAACTTGATACACAGTCAGATTCTAAACAAGGCCTCACATCTCAAATGCATTGTCTGACCTGAGATGTCACCTCTGGTATACTGAGGGAGCTAATTAAAATCTTTAGTCATCTCGGGACGGTGACTTGAAAGAAATTCAGAAATTTGCATTTTAGATTAAAGATTTGACAGCCGTCTTAGGCTTGTTCAACACTGCATCAGTTCTATGACCCTTTGATCTTTTGAGGTTGCAGACTTGCTCGCCGAGCTAGTATGTTTGATTGCAGATGTTTCGTCACCCTGATAGGTAACATGATCAGTGCGCCTCTGGTGAAGCGTCGGTGTTCTGTCCCATTTGTTATTTATATGCCTCAGTTTGCTGGGGTGGTTGACATCACTTCCAGTTCTGTTTTTCAGTGGTTTGTATATTGGGTCCAGTTCAATGTGTTTGTTGATGGAGTTCCATCAAGCATCAACACTTCACCGGAGGCGCACTGACGATGTTACCAAGCAGTGTGATGAGACATCTGCAAATCAAACATACTGGCTTGGCGAGTAAGTCTACAACCTCATCCACAACCTGAGCTATAAATCTTCTCAAAAACTTTGATCTTTTGCTTATAAATTCTGTATCTGATGCTACCTCTCTCATTGACACCTGAAGAAAGAGTGAGACTCCGAAAGCTTGTGTCTTCAAATAAACCCGTTGGACTATAACCTGGTATTGTGTGATTTTTCACCTTGTCCACCCCAGTCCAACAGTGGCACCTCCACATCATGCTTAACTGTAAGGCAGTGAGCAGAGGGATAATAGTTCAACAAGATTTGGTGCACACTGGGACATAGACAGCATCCTTTTAGATTAACTCAAGTTTTCTGAAGAATAGAACATGGAAACCTGACTAATAGTGTGATAGAATAGCCACGTCTAGAGGCAACAAAGGCATGAATGAGAGCTGCAGCAGTAGATGAGCTGAGACAGGTGGAGTTTGGCAATGTAATTGGGGAAGTTAGTGGCAATATCTTGAGGACAGTGCATATCACAGTAGAGGAGGTGTTGGATGTATTAGAATGTATGAAGGTGGATAAATCTCCTGGTCCTGACCAGATATACCCAAGAACCCTGCAAGAGGCTTGAGAAGAAATTGTGGGGGCCCTGGCTGATAGCCACGGGTGAGGTCCCGGAAAACTGGGGGGTAGCGAATGTTGTGCCTTTATTCAAGAAGGGCTGCAAAGATAAACCTGGGAACTATAGACCAGTAAGTTTAACATCTGTGGTAGGTAAGTTACTTGAGAAGCTTCTGAGGGATAAGGTACACATGCATTTGAAAGACTGGATTTGATTAGGAGTAGTCAACATGGCTTTATGTATGGGAGATCATGCCTCACAAATTTGTTCGAGATTTTTGATGAAGTGACTGGGAAGGTTGATGAGGACAGGGTGGTAGATGTAGTCTATATGGATTTCAGTGAGGCCTTTGATAAGGTTCCACATGATAGGCTGCTCTGGAAGGTTATATCGCATGGAATACAGGGAGAGCTGGCAAACTGGATACACAATTGGCTTAATGGTAGGAAGCAGAGAGTAATAGTGGAAGGATGCTTGTCCGACTGGAGACCTGTGACTAGTGGTGCGCTTCAGGGGTCGGTGCTGGGCCCATTGCTGTTTGTTATCGATATCAATGATTTGGATGAGAATGTAAAAGGCGTGATTAGTAAGTTTGCAGATGACACTAAAATAGGTGGTATCATGGACAGTGAGGAAGGTTATCAGAAATTACAGCAGGATTTCAATCAGCTGGGGATGTGGGCCAAGAAATGGCAAATGGAGTTTAATGTAGATAAGTGTGAGGTGTTGCAGTTTGGAAAGTCAAATCAAGGTAGGAGTTTCATGGTGAAGGTAGGGCCTTCGGGAGTGTAGTGAAACAGGGGGACCTTGGAGTTCAGGTGCAAGGTTCTCTGAAAGTAGGGTCACAGATAGACAGGGCAGTGAAGAAGGCATTTGCACACTGGCCTTCATCAGTCAGGGCATTGAGTACAGAAGTTGGGAAGTTATGCTACAGTTGTACTGGACATTGGTGAGGCCACACTTGGAGTATTGTGCTCAGTTTCAGTCACCTTGCTATGGGAAGGATGTTATTAAACTGGAAAGAGTGCAGAAGAAATTTACAAGGATGTTGCCAGGACTCAAGGGACTGAGTTATAGAGTAAGGTTGGTCAAGCTAGGGCTCTTCCCTTTAGAGCGTAGAAGACTGAAGGGGGATCTTATAGAAGTGCATAAGATCATAGGAGGCATGGATAGGGTGAATGCACTCAGTCTTTTTCCCAGAGTTGGGGAATCTAGGATTAGAGAGCGTCCGTTTAAGTTAAGAGGGGAAAGAACACATGGGAACCTGAGGGGCAACTTTTTACACAGAGGGTAGTACGTATGTGGAATGAGCTGCCAGCAGAAGTGGTTGAGGCAGATGCATTAACAATATTTAAAAGGCATTTGGATGAATACATTGATAGGAAAGGTTTAGAAGGTTATGGGCCAAGCGCAGGGAAATGGGGTTAGAGTGGATGAATATTTCGATTGGCAAGGACCAGTTTGGGTTTATGGATTGGTATCCGTGCTGTAAGTCTCAATGACTCTAATTGTGATAGCAAATGGCAGCCTTGATGATGTTGAGATTCACATATGAACATAGGAATTAAGACTATCGGTAGACCAATCAGCTCCTTGTGCCTACCCCACCCTTCAATTAGATCATTGCTGCTCTGATCGCTTCACATTCATCTCATCTCACTGCCCATCTCAGGGTCACATATGACTTCATGATAACGAGTAGTCTGGTTTTGCCTCAAGTCTATTACCAGGGAGACAGATGGACTCAGTGTTTAGAGAAAAAAGTTGGTGGTGGGCCCAAAGACAATGGCTTTGGTCTTCCCAATACTTAGTTGGAAAACATTTCTACTCATCTGATATTCAATGTCAGACAATTTGCATGGCAATTTAAAGGTTGGGTTGGGGGTGTTTTTCAAAAGATGAGGTAGAGCTTGGTGTCAAATGTGAAAATTGATGCTGTGTTTTTCAATGATATCGCAATTCTATGAAACGCATCTTTCCCTCGAATTTCCCGAGTAACCTCACCGATCTTAAATGCCTATGCTCTCGCATTGGTTTAAAATCTGCTTTGAAAGCACAAAGTGATAAAGAAGTTTATACTACACCCGATTACAGCTGGCCGAACTGAAGTTGAGGCTGTTCTTCCTGCTCCCAAGGTTCCTGCTTCTTTGTGCTGATAGAGTCAATATAATTATACAGCACAGAAACAGACCCTTCGGCCCAACTTATCCATGCCAAGCAGTTTCCTAAACTGAAGTAGTCGCATTTGCCTGCATTTGGCCCATATCTCTCTAAAACTTTCCTATCCATGTATCTGTCCGAATATCTTTTAAAAGTTGTAATTGTACTCACGTCTACCACTTCCTCTAGCAGCTTGTTCCATGTATACACTACATATATGCGTGAAAAAGTTGGCCCTCGGTTCCCTCTTAAATCTTTCCCCTCTCAC